GTAGCAAAAGCAAATATTCATGAGTTGAAATTTTCAAGCCTAAGCTTAAATAACTTACTTATGAGCAAGCTTGGCGCAGAGCGTGAATCTTCAGCGGCATACGCAAGCCATTTGTAAAAGATAAGAATAACCAAATAGAGGAATATAGAAGATAAGAATATAATCTGAGGAATGAATTCACACCATATGGCTAAATGGTCACCGTAAAAGCTAAAATGGAAAAGATAAAGCCAATAAAATGAAAATGGAAAGTGATTGCTATTAGAACTATCAATCAACAAAAGTGAACTATGCAAAAACCGAAATACTTCAAGTCATATAATCTTTGAAAAAGAAAGACACAAACCGGTAGTTTAAAAGGCTTAGAGAAACTCCAAAAATCATGTGCATGACACCAAGAACGATTGACATTTTCATTTTGACAGAGTTTGTGAAAGCGATTTTATTGGTAGCTAATTGCCAGACAGGATCAAGTCCGAACGGATAAGGGTAGCCAGCAAACATTCGATCGTCGGTGTGGTTTACGGTTCCTGGCTCAAGCTGAAGGCGCTCATTAGCCTCAAGAGCAGAAGGTTTGTAATTAGGATACCAGGAAGAACCAAAAATATTCGCAGAACGAGAAAAAATATCGTTGTAAATCATGCCAGTATAAATAGAGAAGAGACCCATCAAAAGAATGATATAGCGCCCGCCAAAGAATGTATTCCATATTTCATTATCTGATTTTTTGGCCTAAAAGAAATTTGAAAGGTAAGGTAATAGATAAAAAGTGAATCTGTTTTCAGAGTGATGAAGTCTTGAGATAGCAGAAAAGAGCTATAAACTTTTTTTAGGTTAAATGATTAACACGATTGCAAAAAAGAAGTCATGACAGTGAAATTAGAAAAAGCCATTTTGAGATCAATTTAAAATCTATAGTTAAATAAGAAGCTTACTGATAACTTCGCTTCACAAATCACCATCCAGAGGCCGAAAAGAAACATAAGCAAGCCATGTCCGGCGTCGCCAAACATTACGGCAAATAGAAAAGGAAAAGTGATTATTGTGAACAAAGCCGGATTAACCTCGCGATATCTTGCAACACCATAAGCATCGACAATATCTTGAAATGCAGAAGTAAACTTATTTGTTCGATGATAAGTAGGCGGACTCTCATTAGTATTTAAGCCATTTAATATAGGCTGCAAGGTACTGTTGCTACGCTCCATGCCACGACGTAGGGCCATGTGAATCTTGTCTAAATCGCTGACAGCACACCAGCACTCACCTATCATACATTTTGTCGTCACGTCAAGATTAAAAAGATTGAGCGTATGATAGATAGCTTTTATCTTCCGCACCTTAATAAACCAAACACGCAAATTTTTCGCTGCGGTCTCTAGGATTCGCTGCCGATGCTGTCTGGTTTGATTTAGAACAGTTTCCAAATCTTCTGTTTTACTCATCACATCTATGGCCATTTC